ATGGCCGCCACCACGTGTTCGTTTCCCGAATGGAGGCCACCCCGAGACAAAGGAATAGCTTGTTAATTACCCGTTCGAAACATTGTTGCAATGGGTAATTGGAGGCACACTTCACAAAGGGGAGGTCTGATTATTCGGTAGTTTCATTCCCTTAGTTTATTCGAATGATTCTACCGAACAATCAGACGAATACACTTTATTTAAACACATATAAAACCAGCAGTTTACACGAATGCAGTGAACACATTAAATTTTCAGGACAGCCCAGTGCCATCCGCTACACTGCTCCCCCTTGCCCACAAGCCGGCATACACAGTCTGATCCAACACGGATCGGCTTGGGGATGTCCGGGGGCTCACGGATCACTTTTCCAGGTCAGTTTGTCTCGACAACCCGTCAGCATTCCCATTCTGTTTACCCGGGCGGTACTGAATATTAAAGTCAAAGGGCTGCAGCGCCAAGCTCCAGCGCAGCAGCCTGGCATTGTCCCCAGCCACCCGGTTCAGCCATACCAACGGGTTGTGATCCGTGAGCAATGAAAAGGGCTGTCCATACAAATACGGCTGCAGTTTCTTTAGGGCCCACACCACAGCCAGGCATTCCTTCTCGATGGTGGCGTAGCTTACTTCGCGGGGTAGTAACTTGCGACTGATGTAAGCCACGGGATGTTCTCCGCCATCGGCCCCGACTTGGCTCAGTACTGCTCCCAATCCAAACATAGAAGCGTCTGTGTGAACAAGAAAACGTTTAGTTGGATTGGGAGCTGCCAAGACATTTATCAGTGTATTTTTCAGGTGTTGGAATGCCTGCTCACACTCCGGGGTCCAGGTCACCTGGCGGGGCAGATTCTTCCGGGTCAGGTCAATGAGGGGTTTGGCCAGGGCACTATAGTTAGGGACAAATTTTCTGTAATACCCAGCGGTCCCTAAAAATGCTAAAACTTGGGTCTTAGTCCTAGGGGTGGGCCACTGAGCCACGGCCTCTACTTTGGCTGGTTCGGGCTTCTGCTTGCCGCACCCTACTCTATGTCAGGGCCGGACTGGGGATACAAAGCAGCCCTGGAAAAAAAATTTGTGCCAGCCCCATAAGTCACTGCGCCATATATTGTCGCGTGTAATATGTAAGGCTATGTCTTGCCAGGACAGATGATTGAGTAATATATATATATATATATATATATATATATATATTGCTTTTTCTAATATAAAATATTGGTCCTTTCAGGGTAAAACGTTTAATTATACAGTAAGCATACGCACATGCAGACACAGGCAATTTCACTGACATTTCAGTGACACACACAAGCTCATTGATACACAGCCTCATAGACAAACAATCTTACTGATATACATCAGCTCATTGACATAAAAACACAAGCTCACTCACTAGCAGGCACACGCATGCAAGCAAGCTCACTCACTAGCAGACGCACACACACAGCTTAATGTGGTGGTACTGGTGTCTATAGCATGTCCCTACAGGCTTTTCAACGTAAACACTGACTTTTCAGACAAAAGGCAGTGTTTACATTGCTTCAAAGTGACACTGCTAGTGACAGTCACTCAGACGGTCACTAGAGGTGCTTCCTGTGTTAGTGCCCTCCCGCGCTGCTGAATGAGACTGGCGCCGGAATATGACGTCATATTCCGGCGCCGGTCTCATTCAGCTGCGTGCTGGGGAGCAGAGCCAGCGCAGCTCGCGCAGCTCCCTCAGCGGCCGCCAGGACAAGTCCGCCAGCGGCCGCCAAAAGACCTCCCCAGCGGCCAGGGGAGGGCTGGCAGCCTTAGGCCTGGGGGCAAAACCAGTCAAGTAGACTGGTGCACCTGCCCAGGATCAGAGCCGGTGCAAGGATTTTTGCCGCCCTAGACAAAATAAAAATTTGCTGCCCCCACATGTCACATCACAATGCCCCACCCATATGATCTGCCATATGAACTAACGCCAGTGCTGCACACAGTGTGTGTTTACATTAAAAAGCCTGCAGGGACCAGCTATAGACACCAGAACCACTTCATTAAGCTATAGTGTCCCTTTAATGTGAGGTAAATTATAGATTAGTGTCACTAATAATATACTAGATTGCCTACTTACAAGCAGATGAGGATGATGATGGGCTGCAGTTTGGCTCCACTGGTCTGGAGTAGAACAGGATCTCTGGAGGCTGTTTGCAACTGTGGTCACAAAATTCAATGTTCTGGGAGAATTGGAAGCAGCTCAATTTTTGGGGGGCCCCTTACACAGCTCAAGGTCTGGGCCCCAGGGCCTGACGGTGAGTATGCCCATAAGGCCCACTCATAAGTTCCACCCACCCATGAGTTTGCTCACAGGGAGTGGAGTGTGTAGGGGATGTGTTATGTGTTATTGTAGAGGATCTAATATGTGTGCTTATGGTAT